ACATAATGAACCCTTGAGGTTGAGTTAGTAATATTTGGCTTGTAAACGTTGACCTTTATAAGGACACGACTCATTATCATTAATAACTCTCAAAGTATTTGGAGAATTATTTTAATAAGTGTAGATTTGTCACTCGGAATTTTTTTGGATGATTTATATGTACTTGCAAGTTGCAAATTGCAATGCTGTGATTTTTTTATTTTTTTATTTCATTTATATTTGATTGTTAGGTGAAGGTTTGAACTATTAAGATAAGAAACAACAAATCTACATCAACATAATGGAATAAACAACAAGTTAAAGATAAGAAAGAGACATTAATTTTAAAATCGTATTATATAAATAGATGGACTGAATTTAGAAGAGACTTCAATTAAAAATGAATTACGAACAACACATCAGTTATAATTGATTCATAGAATTATAATATAATCACATTTAATTTCAAGACAAAAATTGAAGATGTTGAAAATTTAAATATTAATTAGTTATAAAGTCTCGCATTAATCAGCAACTAATCAAGCGAGACCATAATTAAGAAGAAAATTCATAAATACAACACCTTAAAGTTTAAGGGCTAAGAACTCAAAATTTGATTTCAAGGGGTAGTTGGTGTTTGAATTTATGCTTAAACTTGTGTTATGAAATAATTAACTATAGACTTGACTTATAGTTAATAATCTTATAAATACTCAAAATGGCTTCATATCCAGGAAGAGCATTGTTGCTAATTCGGCAAATGTACCGATCGTTTCAAGTAATAAGTGATAAGTAGAGTATCGTCTCCACGAGGATTGAGGCACCAAATTTATTATAACTATTCATTTCTTGTCGATTAATAAAATTGATTTAAAGAACAATTGTGATTTGTGAAAAACAAGACCAAATTAAGAAAGTAAAAACAGTTTTCAAGATTCTTCTGAAACTCAAGAACACAATATTAATGACTGAGAAAATATTGCGGTAAAGATAAATAAACACATTTATGATCCCCCACCTTGTAACTTGGATTAACGTTTACATTTAATTATTCAATTGATCAAACGACCCACTATCTTTTATTTAATCGGTTAAGTCCTAATTCCTTAATGACTTGACCTTATTAACTCTATTAGAATCATAATCCCTTAGGAATCCCTTTTCAAGTTAAACCTTAGAATCAGTGAATTTTTAATGTTTGCAGTTTATGTAGCCTATCCCTAGTGCATACATGAACAATTATCTTATCTTTTGTGAGGAATTAGAATCCCAACATCCCTATTGAAAACCCTAACCTTCACAATCCTAATAGATTGATCGGTTCTAGAAGAATTATGAGATGAAGAACAAGGCAAAATAAACTCAATTGAAATAAACAAATATAAATTTAACCAAACTACAAGGGGTTCATATTAAGGGTTGTGACCCTTACCACAATAAAAAAAGACTAGCCAGACATATTCATGTCTGACGAATTCAATGTAAAAGAAACTAAAATTCAGAACCTAGTGATGAAGAATAGGACGACGATCCTCAATTTTGCTCTTGAGATTCTTCAAACGCTCCAAGAATTCTCTCTCTCTCTTTTATGTTATTTTTCTCTTCCTCCCTGAAAAAGTGCTCTCTTCCTGTGTTTCTGATCTTCTTATTAAGCTTTTGAAAACCATCTCCCAAAATTACCCTCAAATTGGGCCTTATTCAGTGCAATTCGCATCAGATTAAGAGAGTTAAATATCGCCCGCGCAGATTGCTCCACACTCGCGCGAAATCGCGCGACAAAACAGTAAGAAACGAGTGAAATGGAGCGATCCGCGCCATTCACCCGCGGATCGCAGACTGTATTTTTGATTCTCACTTTTTTTACTTCTTTTCTGGTACTTCCTGCTATCAAAATGAATAGTTTGAGTGAGAGAATGACTGAGAAGGAATAATCAATATTTCTAATATTTATAAACACTTTCTGCTCATTTATGATTAACTCATTGCTTCTTCTAACTTAAAAAACATCATATGCTAGGCGCATATCAAGCATGCTATGATGTAAGTGAAGAACTCTTATTTAATAATGATAAAAAAAACTACGAAGAATATAAAGTTGAAAAGATTTATAAACTTAAGTTTTAAGGTTATGTCCTCAAGCGTAAGAGCCACTGTTATAGCTTTCCGCATAATTAAGGCCACTAATAAAAGTTTTCTTGTCTAATTGGCTTTTATTTTCACTCAAATAAAAGAGAAATAGAATTAATAAAATCATTCTTTCCATGACATGCTTTAAGCAGTAACATAAGGGGGCGTTTGGTTGAGGAAATTTTTTTGGAATAGTAAGAAAATGTAATAAATAAATAAATGATTGAAAAGATAGATAAAGTGAGATAGGTAGAAAAATGTAAAAAAAATTTGTTTGGTGGGGAAAAACTTTACTGGAAAAATTAGGTAACTTTATGAAATCAACGTGCATTAAAAGCCAGATAACCGATTTTCTGAAAAATCCCACCTTCAAATTGGGTTTCTAAACAGTGCGGATATCTATGTTTCTCATAAATCCATACAAATTGGATAGATGTGTTTTTGGTGAAAATACGTTGAAACAAACATGGTGTTTCTAAAAGTCATACCTGAGAAACATAGATATATGCTGAAAAGCTCCCAACCAAACACCACCTAAAGGACAATAGTGGTAAAGCGAAGGGAAATACACTGAAAAATTATAGATGTATAAATTTGGATATGCCAAAATCGAGTACTATGATGCTATAGTTTTTTTTTTCTTATAAAAATAAAGAGAAAAAAATATACAAAATCCCTTGTTAAAATAATATATTTACGTTTATCAGCCCACGGTTTCAAAACTTTTTTTTTTTAAAGATAAAAAACTAAGAAATGTAATGATGTGATATTATTGTTGGCTTTTATGGGTTTCTCTTTTATTTACATATATAATTAGATGGGTAATAGTTTTTTCATGCAATATGAGATAACTATTATCTCCTACAGACTCATTTATGGAAGTGGGATCCATTTTCAATGAGAGAAAAAAAATAGAGTGAGACTCATCTTGAATTTGTGTGTGTAGGAGATAGATTATATCTTATATAACATAAGAATAATAAATCTCAAATTATATAGGTCTTATCATATAAATTTGATCAACCAAAAGAAAGCCACGTCACCAAAATTAAAGTTGCAGTCACATCAGAAGCAATTTTGTAAAGAATTAATTCAATTCAAAAACTTAAGTTAGTGGGTGAGAACTTTTCTAATGGTTTATAGTATTATCTAACACGTCCTCTCACAAGAGAGTCTAACGGGCTTGAATTTGTGTGTGTAGGAGATAGATTATATCTTATGTAACATAGAATATCAAATTCCTAATTAGATAGGTCTTATCATATAAATTTGATCAACCAAAAGAAAGCCACGTCACCAAAATTAAGGTTGAATCCATGTGAGAAGCAACTTTGTAAAGAATTAATTCAACTCAAAAGCTCAAGTTAGTGGATGAGAGTTTTTTTAATGGTTTATAGTATTATCTAGGAAAAAATTCACTAATGCTTGTGTGGTTTGCTTCAGAATCATCTATGCCCCTGTGAGTTTTTGTATCACATATACCCCTGTGCTTTGTAAAAAATAAAAAATCAAAGGGACACATGTGATAAAAAAATCACAGAAATATAAGTGATTTTGAAGTAAATCACAGGAGTATTGATGAACTGTTTCCTATTATCTAACATGTCCTCTCACAAGAGAAGTGGATGATGCATCAAGCCATACCGAGTGAAAACTTTTTTTAATGGTTTATAGAATTATGTAACATGTTCCCTCATAAAAGAAAGAAGAAAAGATAGTGCATATTGCACCCGTGAAATGTAACAAACTAATTAACTATTCAACCAATCAGAGAACTAATAATTGAGTTTGAATTATAAGAATAGGTGAGTGAACAGAGTGGTTCTTATCATTTTATTTCATTCAATAAATATCCTTGTAATTTGTTAAAATTTTGATTATTCTTTTATGACAGTATAACATTACTCTAAAATGATTTTTGGAACCCTAGCTAGACTATTTAAGAGCGTTAATGGGTAATTATGAACTACATTAATTGAAAATTTAGGTGGTCTACAAATGTATAAAATTGCATGTGCAGTTGTCTACAATGCATTTACAATTAAATGTAAATATACAAGGCCAATATATATAGGAAGTTGCTATAATCTGCTCACAGCCGTGCATGGTTGGTTATATTATTAATTTAGGTGAGTTATTTAGTTTTTGAAGACAAACAATTCTGTTGCATACTATCTTTTTCTTTTTTCTTTTTTGTTTTTTCTTTTTGTGGAGAATATCTTTTTATTTTTCTTATTACCAAAGCCCAGAGAAAAAATGAACTACTTAAAACAAGATGTGTAAGATAGCCCGGTAACACTGGCATTAAACCATTCGAAGGAGTGAACAACTCATGTAATCCATAGTCTAAGGAGCTCTCATGGCTGATCAGTCTGCAAACTTATTGTCTTTCCAATTACATTTTTTTTAATAATTTTATTTTGTTTCTCAGTGAAGGAAATGTAAAAAAAGGTATGAAAGAAAAGGCCTGCATTTTTTTTTAAAGAAATTGCATAAAAATATTACCTCTTAAAAATTATTTTATTGTACGTTAAAATATTAATGACAAAATAGTGCAATGAATGTAAATAAGAAACTACATCTCTTTCAATTTTATTTTTGAAATTACGTCTGTGATTGAAAATTGATTAATGAGGCAATAACACATGCAATGTGCTATTACATCAACATGGCGTCTACATCTAGAAATGGTTGAAAAGAAATCAAACCAAGCCAATAACAAAAAAATAAAAACCATCGCGTTACATTAAATTTTTAAAATAAGAAAAAACTTCGCGTAAACTAATATATTACGCCTAAAACAAAATTGATCAATAATAACCCATGCTATTGCTTTATAAATACCCAACTCACTCGTATAATCACAAACACAAACAATTACATAACCCACCAATATGGTAGTAGAATTTGCATCCCCTAGTTGGGCTTCAACCATAGCCACATGCCTTGCAACCTTCGCCGTCCTCCTTCTCTTCTTCAGCCACTGTCTCCGCCGCCGGAGATATAATCTGCCGCCAGGCCCAAAACCATGGCCCATCATAGGAAACTTTAACCTCATTGGGCCTCTCCCTCACCGGTCCCTTCATACTCTTAGCCAAAAGTATGGCCTACTCATGCATGTCAGGTTGGGCTCCAAGCATGTAGTGGTGGGCTCTTCCGTTGACATGGCAAAAGCCTTCCTCAAAACCCACGACGGCACGGTGGCGGACAGGCCCAGATTCGCCGTCGGAAAGTACACAACCTACAACTATTCAGACATAGCATTTTCCCCTTATGGGCCATACTGGCGACAGGTACGAAGGATGTGCAAAATGGAACTTTTCAGTGCAAAAAGACTTGATTCCTTTGAATATATAAGAAGAGAAGAGGTACGTGCATTGATGAATGAACTGTTCAACAATGCAAAGAGAATCATCACGTTGAAAGACTATCTCTTCATTCAGGGAATGAATGTCATAAGCCGCATGCTGTTGGGGAAAAAGTACATGGACAAGAGCCATGACAGCATCGTTTCCCCTAAGGAGTTCAGCCATATTATGGATGAGATATTGTTGCTGAATGGGGTTCTCAACATTGGGGACTACATCCCTTGGATTAACTTCTTGGACTTGCAGGGTTATATAAAGAGGATGAAGGCTGTGAGCAAGAAGTTTGATGTGTTTATGGAGCATGTGTTGGACGAACACATTGAGAGAATGAAAGGGATTAAGGATTATATTGCTAGAGACATGGTGGATGTGCTTTTGCAGCTTGTAGAGGATCCTAATCTCGAGGTTAAGCTTGAGAGGCATGGAGTCAAAGCTTTAAGTCTGGTACAATTTTTTTTTAAGCTCTTTAAATTGTTATGAATGTTTTTTGTTTGGTGAAAAATGTTATAAATTGTTTTTCTGTGAAAATAATTGCTGACTAAGACCATCTTGGAGATTAATTATGATCTTTCTGTTTATTTAGCACCAAATTTCATATTGGAAGATGTGGCTGATTATTTTTCTGATAAACTTGAGTCTTTGATATCTATTCCTTAGGACCTAATAGCGGGTGGGACAGAGAGCTCTGCTGTAACTGTAAAATGGGCAATCTCTGAGCTCTTGGGAAAGCCAGAGATATTCTTGAGGGCTACAGAGGAGCTAGACAAAGTGATACGGAGAGATAGATGGGTTGAAGAGAAGGACATTGTCAATTTACCCTATATTAATGCAATTGCTAAGGAAGCAATGAGGCTGCACCCTGTGGCACCAATGTTAGCGCAAAGACTAGCCTGTGAGGACTGCAATGTTGATGGGTATGATATCCCCAAAGGGACTCATGTGATTGTCAATTTTTGGACTATAGGAAGAGATCCTGAAATTTGGGAGAATCCAAATGAATTCCAACCAGAGAGGTTTATAGGAAAGGAGATAGATGTGAAAGGTCATGACTATGAGTTGTTGCCATTTGGTGCTGGTAGAAGGATGTGCCCTGGTTACCCTCTTGGCCTTAAGATTATTCAAGCATGTTTGGCCAACATGTTGCATGGCTTTAACTGGAGACTACCTCATAACACGAGGAAGGAGGACTTGAATATGGAAGAGATATTTGGCTTGTCTACACACAGGAAACTACCTTTGGAAGTAGTTGTTGAGCCTAGACTTCCACGTCATCTTTATTCCCTCTAAGTATTGTCTCTTTCAACAGGTTTTCTCTTCGAATTATGGGGTTGGTATAATTTTAATGTCTTCATCATGCAGGAAGGAAGAGAAAAGTTTTTTTTTTTTTATAATAGTAATAATGAAAAAAATAAAGATGTTATGATGTTTGAGACTTGGAGTTCAGTTATTAGTAATAGTATATGCGATGTGTATGTCCGAATTGTTTTACCGTTTTATAATATACTAAATTAAGGTACCTTCTATTGTTTCTCTCTCTCTCTCTCTCTCTCTCTCTCTCACTTTTTTACACTTTTTTTTATGTTTATATGGAAGCAGTGAAATTTTCAACCCGATCTTGAACTGTAGAGAGTTGAATTGCCCACACAGTATCCTTGCCAACTCGGCAACAATTGAGGAAGGAGTTCAGTTTCCTTACATCTCTGATCTCTCTATGAAAAATTTTTCTCTCCTGATCTCACACTTCTTTCCTAACATTTTTACAATGAATCTGAACAATATTCAGTCACCAACTGTGCCAATATAAGGAGAAACATGGTACGACCTAATCTTCATCAAAACAAAACTGAACACTAAGACTATTTAATAGAGTTAATGGGGACAATTATGGATTAATGGAAAAATTTGGGGGTCTACAAATGTATAAAAATGTAAGGGTGTAAATGGGATATGCCGGTCTACATTGGCCTACCTAACCTATATTAGGTCAGATTTGACCTATTACAAAGAGTAAAGTAGAACAGGCTTAGACTTTTAAAAAAACTTATTTTGAAAACAGGTCATAGATTTTTTTTCGTACATGTTGGACCTATACGTTTATAGGTGGCCTATATCATATTATTTATTTAAAATATAGTAAATAAAATTATTATATTAATAATTTTAAATAATAAAATAATATTATTTTAGCTATTCTTTTAATTATTGAATATTTAATAGGCTTAAACAGGTTAACAGGCCTAGACCAAGACTTTTATTTTTTAAATATAGGTCAAGTCAGATTTGTAATTTAGGGTCTACATAGGCTAATAGGTCAGGCCATACTCATTGTTTTTTACACAAGCCTAACTTATTTAAGTCAAAGTTTAGCCTAACCTATTTACACCCTATAAAACTACATGTGCCCTTGTCTATAATATATTTACAATTAAATGTACATATGCAATGCCAATATTTATAGTAAGTTGCTGCAATCTGCTCATTGTCGTGATTGGTTATATTCTTAAATTAGGCGAGTTGTTCATTTTTTTTATATAAAAAAAACCAGATAGTAATGTGTTGGTACATTAAGATTGTTTTTAAATCAGTTTGATTTTGAAAAGAATAAAAAAATTAATAAATAAACCAATTTAATTTGGGGGATCTCATCGGGTACATTTTAGGAAAATATCTCACTTATATTATATGAGATGATTATACATCCAAAAAGTGAATGAGATCCATTTTTTTTCACTTTCTTCTCTTTAATGGGTCTCACCCATTTTTGTGTGTGTTATCTAAGATAAAATTATCTCATGTAACATGAAAAATATATTCCCTACATTTTTTTAAAAATCAACAAGAAGTTCAGGATTTTCTTATGAGCTAGCTCGAGAGCTGAACAATCACGGATCAGTAGCAAATATCATATATATAATTGTATTTTCATTATTTGACGCAACATTTTGAATTTCAATTTCTGTTACAAGCTTTGTAAGTTGCATATAAGAGGTAATGCTAGGAAATGCCCTTTATTTCCCATCTTATATTTGTAGATGACATTATCTTGTTTATAGAAGCTTTATAAGTCATCTGAATTCCATTATTCATTGCCTTCATATGTTCTCCAAATTGTCCGGTCAATGCGTGAGCATTGAAAAATCTTGTATCTGCTGCTAACCTAGCTGCTGAAATCTCTGATATTAGTGGTTTCAAGAAAGTTAATAACCTTGGTCGCTACTTAGGCTCTTTGATGAAACATGGCAGAACGAAAAGAGACCATTATGCTAAAGTTATCAATAGAGTTAAAAAAAAACTCCAAGGTTGGAAATCAAGCTGCCTCTCTCTGGCGGGTATAAATACTCTGGCGAGTAGTGTAATATCTGCCATTCCTAGCTTTCACATGCAGAATAATGCCCTCCCAACCCATGTCTTTCAGGATATTGAGAAGCTCCAACGTAATTTCATTTGGGGTGATACAGATACTGCCCGTACAACCCATTATGTTGCTTGGGACAAACTTTGCCTTCCAAAAAATTATAGGGGCTTGGGGATCACTAACTTGAGAGGGCAAAATGGGGCTTTTATGCAAAATAAAATTGCTTGGCATTTTATCAATAATCAGCAAAGCCTGGGTCCAAGTCTTTTATGGAAAATATGGGAGGAATTGTGATTTTAGGAGGAATATTTCATCGAAAAATAGCAATTCAACCTTGTGGAAGAATCTTTGTAAGGCCTAGCATAACATGTATCCTTATCTTGAACGAGATATAGGAAATGGTAGCTCTATTCTCTTTTGGATAGATACTTGGGTGGTTTTAATAATAGTTTGGTTGAGACTGCTATGATAAAGCCTCGCCCCGCCCCGCCCCGCCCGATTCTGACCTGAATATAAAAGTTTGTGATTTAGTGACCTATGTGAATGATGACTGGAATTGGCAGTACCTTTCCCAATTCCTTGACCATGAGACCATTCAGAGATTGAAAATTATTATTCCCCCTTCCCTTTGATAGCCCTACTTTTCTGAAGTGGAAAAATCCAAGCCCAGGTCAGTCTATTGTCAAAAATGCTTACTGCAACGCCATGGGTTTTCTATATATGGAGATAGAGTTTGGAACACTCTTTGGAATTGGAAGGGGCCTTATAGAGTTACAGTTTGTATGTGGATGGCTACTCTTAATAAACTCCCTGTTCGTGATAGAACCTATCACTGGAGTGCTGGCCAGCAATTCTACCCCTCTTGCCTCAATCATTCTGAAGATTGTGGCTACGTTAAATCCGCTTGGTTGAATTGGTTGTCCAGTGCTGTCCCTCTAAATGTTTTTTTCTCTTGATGGGGAAAGCTGGTTTAGACACAATATTCTTAGGTCTTTTCATATTAGTAGATAGGCTAAGTGGAAGGATGTTTTTTGTGTTACTTGTTGGTATCTTTGGCAGCGGAGAAATTCTTCTATTCATGATAGTTGTTTCTCCAAACCCACTGTAGCTATTATTTTTCTCTTCTTATAGGGTATGGAAACAACTGGTAGTTGTCTATATAATATTGTTTTCTCTCTTGACTCTAATCTAAACAGGGAAACAATTTCCCTTTTCTCAATAAATGGATGCCTTCTTATTTGTAGATGGAGCAACTTGTGTTTCCAGTTCTAAAAGTGCTTGTGGAAGTTTTGTATGTGACTCTAATGGTAAATGGTTGGCTGGATTTGCGTATAATATTGGGTATTGTTCAGCTTTAGAAGTAGAATTATGTGGTTGTATTCATAGCCTCCTTTGAGCTTGGAAGTTTGAATGCTTCAATCTGGTTGCTGCTTGTGATTCCAAAGAAGCCTTATTGTGTATATCTGGTGAAACAGAGACTGGTGGCTTATCAGCTTTGGTGTTTCATATTAAAATTTTAATGCAGAAGTTGCAATCTGTTCATCTGATTTATATGCCTCGTGACAACAATCTTTGTGCTGAACTTTTAGCAAAAAATAGTTTTGATGCTACGGTTTATACCTGTTTATCGTTCAATGCTCCCACCTTGTAATATTTTACCCGCTTCGAATATCTTTATTTCCAATTTTCTTGCTGAGAGTGCTGCTTTAGAGCTTCAACAACTTTCTCTGTAGTTGCTTTGTTTGTTTTTTGGGCTTTTTTCCTCCCCCATTATTAAAGAAGAAGAAGAAGATATTGTGATCGTTTTTAGCGCTTGAAGTTGATCTAGAAATTTGCATTTATCAAGCTAATCAAATACTGCACAGTAACTCTGTCAAGGTTAGGTTAGTTTTTTATTTTTTATTTATTTTTTAACTATCGAATTATAAATCACAAGAACAATTTACGAGTTTATATATATGGAAAAGAAATTATTAAAGCAAACTTATCCTTTTGTGTTGCGAGTTATAAATAAATTAAAAAAGTTGGTACATGATGTAATTCCAAACTCTATTTTGTTTTATGAGTTATTAAAAATAAAAATAAAAATACTTTTCAAGAGGAGTAAAAAGTTTCACAACACATTTCAAGCTCATAAATATGGTTCGAAAAAATAATTAACGTCACGTATGGTCATTCATGAATGCTCACTATAATTTAGTCTTTCCTAATTCCTTTACTTTTGTTTTTGGTAAATATATTTCTAATGTTACATTAAATAGTTTGATCTCATGCAACACATAAAAAATAGCTGAGTCCCACTTTTCTCTCTCTTTTGCTTATGGATCTCACCCACTTTTTTATGTGTTGCATGAGATAAATTATTTCATGCAATACAAAAAACATATCTCCCTTTTTATATGCATATGTATTAAATAATCTTGAAAAACGTTCATTTATGATAGACAATTTTCAATTTGCTCTTTTAACAATGCCATAAGAATCGTCTATATATACACTCAAATAGCAGATGATACAATTTTTTTTTTTACAAATTACAAGTATTCTCCATTGGAAAGCAATTCTATTGAGTCGGGAATATCCACATCATGGTGATCATGATGGGACTAGCTCTTCCAAAGAAACTTTTTTACATTCACAACGACTTGAACTCAAGACTTTACTTAAGTGGAATCAAATATTTATCACTTGAACCAACCCCCTTTGATTCAGATGCTACAATTCTAAATCTGACATGAAGAGGGAATTGGGCAAATTTCGCAACCAAACCACAAAATAAAAAGAAAGTACACAAGTAACAAAATAAAATAAAATTAACCTCATCTTTTTCAAAATCAAAGTTTTGAATATTTGAATTAAATCTCGAAATTCCAAACTACCCGTTATAACATTGGTAATTATAGAATTATATTTTTTATTTAATATTTTTATT